ACTAGGGTAAACATGGGTACACAAGATATATAGGGGTATACAGGGTATACAGCATTACTAGGGTAAACATGGGTAAACAGATTATATTGGGGTATACAGGGTATACAGTATTACTAGGGTAATCAAGGGTAAACAGGTTATATAGGGGTATACAGGGTATACAGTATTACTAGGGTAATCAAGGGTAAACAGGATATATAAGGGTATACAGGGTATACAGTATTACTAGGGTAAACATGGGTAAACAGGTTATATAGGGGTATACAGGGTATACAGTATTACTAGGGTAATCAAGGGTAAACAAGATATATAGGGGTATAGAGGGTATACAGTATTACTAGGGTAATCAAGGGTAAACAGGATATATAGGGGTATACAGGGTATACAGTATTACTAGGGTAATCGAGGGTAAACAGGATATATAAGGGTATACAGGGTATACAGTATTACTAGGGTAAACATGGGTAAACAGGTTATATAGGGGTATACAGGGTATACAGTATTACTAGGGTAATCAAGGGTAAACCGGATATATAGGGGTATACAGGGTATACAGTATTACTAGGGTAAACATGGGTAAACAGGTTATATAGGGGTATACAGGGTATACAGTATTACTAGGGTAATCAAGGGTAAACAGGATATATAGGGGTATACAGGGTATACAGTATTACTAGGGTAATCAAGGGTAAACAGGATATATAGGGGTATACAGGGTATACAGTATTACTAGGGTAATCAAGGGTAAACAGGATATATAAGGGTATACAGGGTATACAGTATTACTAGGGTAAACATGGGTAAACAGGTTATATAGGGGTATACAGGGTATACAGTATTACTAGGGTAATCTAGGGTAAACGGGATATATAGGGGTATACAGTATTACTAGGGTAAACATGGGTAAACAGGTTATATAGAGGTATACAGGGTATACAGTATTACTAGGGTAAACATGGGTACACAGGATATATAGGGGTATTGCAGGGTATACAGTATTACTAGGGTAATCTAGGGTAAACAGGATATATAGGGGTATACAGGGTATACAGTATTACTAGGGTAAACATGGGTAAACAGGTTATATAGGGGTATACAGGGTATACAGTACTATTAGGGTAAACATGGGTGCACAAGGTATATAGGGGTATGCAGGGTATACAGTACTACTAGGGTAATCAAGGGTAAACAGGATATATAGGGGTATACAGGGTATACAGTATTACTAGGGTAAACATGGGTAAACAGGTTATATAGGGGTATACAGGGTATACAGTATTACTAGGGTAATCAAGGGTAAACAGGATATATAGGGGTATACAGGGTATACAGTATTACTAGGGTAATCAAGGGTAAACAGGATATATAGGGGTATACAGGGTATACAGTATTACAAGGGTAATCGAGGGTAAACAGGATATATAAGGGTATACAGGGTATACGGTATTACTAGGGTAAACATGGGTAAACAGGTTATATAGGGGTATACAGGGTATACAGTATTACTAGGGTAATCTAGGGTAAACAGGATATATAGGGGTATACAGGGTATACAGTATTACTAGGGTAAACGGGTTATATAGAGGTATACAGGGTATACAGTATTACTAGGGTAAACATGGGTACACAGGATATATAGGGGTATGCGGGGTATACAGTATTACTAGGGTAAACATGGGTACACAGGATATATAGGGGTATGCAGGGTATACAGTATTACTAGGGTAATCTAGGGTAAACAGGATATATAGGGGTATACAGGGTATACAGTATTACTAGGGTAAACATGGGTAAACAGGTTATATAGGGGTATACAGGGTATACAGTACTATTAGGGTAAACATGGGTGCACAAGGTATATAGGGGTATGCAGGGTATACAGTACTACTAGGGTAATCAAGGGTAAACAGGATATATAAGGGTATACAGGGTATACAGTATTACTAGGGTAAACATGGGTAAAGAGGTTATATAGAGGTATACAGGGTATACAGTATTACTAGGGTAAACATGGGTAAGCAGGTTATATAGGGGTATACAGGGTATACAGTATTACTAGGGTAAACATGGGTAAACAGGTTATATAGAGGTATACAGGGTATACAGTATTACTAGGGTAATCAAGGGTAAACAGGATATATAAGGGTATACAGGGTATACAGTATTACTAGGGTAAACATGGGTAAACAGGTTATATAGGGGTATACAGGGTATACAGTATTACTAGGGTAATCAAGGGTAAACAGGATATATAGGGGTATACAGGGTATACAGTATTACTAGGGTAATCAAGGGTAAACAGGATATATAGGGGTATACAGGGTATACAGTATTACTAGGGTAATCAAGGGTAAACAGGATATATAAGGGTATACAGGGTATACAGTATTACTAGGGTAAACATGGGTAAACAGGTTATATAGGGGTATACAGGGTATACAGTATTACTAGGGTAAACATAGGTAAACAGCTTATATAGGGGTATACAGGGTATACAGTATTACTAGGGTAAACATGGGTACACATAAGATATATAGTGGTATACAAGGTATAAGAGATAACATATCAGGGAGTCTATATGGAGACTGCCATGAATTACTTGCCTGTGTAGCAGACTACTGTTCCAGTAAATCGAGATTTTTCCTATATTGACTGTACGTATCAGGAGCGGATCCAGGATTTTTTTTAGGAGGGGGTGCACTCGTATCTTGCTCTACTTCAACACCAATAAGCCACATAGTTTTTTTTTTTTTTTTTTGCGGAATACTAGTTGTATTAAAAAACCGCAGGTCATCTCGGGGGGGGGGTGCGCACCCCTTGCACCCTCCCCCTAGATCCGCCCCTGCGTATGACTGTATATTTCAACTGTAAGTACTTTCCTTAATATACGCGAGAGTGCCTCATCGGGATTTCGCCTTCTGGACGAAATCCCTGAGGGGCAAAAACGTCGTAGCTTTACGAAATAGAACTATATTTCATATTGGCAACATTCTCTTCAAAACTCGCAAAAACTAGAGTTCTATACGATTTTTTTTTTAAGATGAATAAGCCACTTTAAAATATCTCGCCCTTACAAGAAAACACCTGAGAGGCTTGGTCAAATTACCTTTATGCAATCCGTCACAAGCTCATGATGGAGATTGGCAAATACAATCAAATAAATAGAGTCGACAGACATTGCCCTTCTTGTGGATGTAATCAATCAAAGACGTAATTCCTTTTCTTATTTCTTACTACTACAAATTAAGGTTCAGTCTCTAATCCCAAATATTAAGCAACTATCCTTTAACGAATTGATCATGAAAATTATGAAATCATTGAATTCATATCATCTTGTCAGTTTAATTTTTGGGATAAACTTTTATTAATGTAGTTTTTAATCATGATCTTAGTGTTTTGGTAAGCTTTTGCAAAAATAAGTATAAATAAAGTTTAGGATCAGGTAAATAAAGCCATCAGTTAAGCTGTTGTTCTTGCTGATTGCAGGCAACATCAATTTGTCGGCTTTTCTCACAGTAATGAGGTTAAAACCTGGGCCCGGTTCCTCGAAAGATGGTCAAGTTTAACGCAAGATTAACCCAAACTGGGATGTTGAGCACGGTTTTCTTGTCTAGGAACATGTAACTCAAGCTTACCAACAACAACAACAACAAACGTTTATTTGCATGACTATAAGAAATTACAGTTTACTGTATTGCAAAAGGATAGGAACTTAAAAAAATACATTTCTAGTAAAAATTAAGTGTCATCATTCTGAAGTGATAATTAGCTATCACGTCACGTAAATTAATTGATAATGAGACAAAGTTCATCAGTTGTAAATTAACATAGCTTTTCTTTAGAATTCATTAGTTTTGTCACATGCAGGGCAAAATTACTGAATGCTGATTGGCTGAGACAGAAGGCATTTGTTCTTAATAACGAGTTAGTAGTAATCGGCCTTGAGGAACCGGGCCCTGGCCTTTAGTGATTAATGTAATAAGCATATGCTAAACCAGTGAATGTTTGTTGGACTTGTTGCCGTTTTTTTTCTCGTACTCCGATTGGCTGACTTAGAGAGAGATTTAGAATCATGTTTATGGCAATTGCAAAAAGTCAGTATTCACCACGTGGCCAAGTGTTCCTTCTGCTAGCTTGCAACTTGTTAATTGCACAATTGTAAGTAGTTTTCATGCTAGTTTCATCCCTAAGAACTTAAAAAAAAATTAGAAAGTAAGTAAAAACAACGCCGACCCCAAGTTGATGACGTCATTGCGGACACCATCGGGCCGTTTCGGCGAGTAAAATGCAGTCCTGTTTTTGAGTCTAATTTGTCTCCTTTAAATCAGAACCAATACAGTCCAATTACCTAGAGCTGATTTGGACGCAAGGGCTGAAATGGGCCCCAGCGTGCATACCGATATTTTTTTCAACCGCCTTAAGGTGATTCCTTTGTAAAAGAACCTATCATAGATTGTAGATGAAACTTGGTACACTGATGTAAGAAGTCAAGAAGATGATAAAAAAGTAGTAAAAAGTGGGGGTCACGGTGCTTGTTTTGACGTCGCAATGCTGACAAATACGGCTCTTTAGGACCCTTTGACAAAAACCCGCGCAGCCCAAAACTGGACAAAAAGCGAGCCATACATACCTCCATGACTAGTATATTTCAGTGTGAGTATTGTCAATGGCAATCAATGGCTGCGGTCACATCTACGACGTAACTTAAGTTTAACTTAAGTTAGTCTCAAGTTACGTGACGTCATACCTAACTGTAGTTAGTGCTTTCGGTCGACATTGCGGTTACACCAACACCACGTAGTTAACAACAGTTAGTTCTACTGATTAGCCTATGTAAAATTTTTTGTTTGTTGTTTTTGGTTTCCCCCCTCGCTTTGCGCTTGGTTTTTGTTTTGCATATTTATATATGCTAATCTCGCACGTGCGAAAAGAAGTGTCACATTCTGATTGGTTGTTTGTTTGTAAACTTAAGAGTAACCCACGAACCCTGCTTGGGTATAACTATAGTTAGTCTGTATTGTTTTAGATCACCGAGGCGTAAATTTTCTAACTGTACTAAGGGCCTGTTTACATATGGAGGTGGAGGACCCCAGGTTGGTGAGGTAACCCGCTTTGGTGGGCAACCCGACTGTCCACATAATCTCTCATTTTAATTTGTTCGCGTTTACATGATAGGTGGGGTGATCCGCTGCATGTTACCTCACCTATCTGGGGTCCCCCACCTCCATGTAAACAGGCCCTTAGACCAAACAGAAACAGAGAAGCACCGGACACATTACCGAAACAGATAACTATAGTCTTAACTATAGTTAGTTGCCCAGATGTGACGGCAGCCAATGTTTTACATTCAAAAGATGCAATAAAATTATAAGTGAAATGTACTAGTCATAGTATGGTTCGCTTTAATTTGGAAAAATTAGCATAACGTCAAAACAGCGATTGTTACAGCGCGGATTTTTGGCCGCGGTTGGTAAGCTAAGTTTGTCTTGAAATTTCAAGGTGTTGCAGTAAATCAATCTTCATGAAAAGTTTCAGACATTATTATATGCATAGTGAAGATTAATGAGTGACGAGGTTTACAACGAATTCTGTCGAGCCGTTTTAGAGATATACAGAAAAGCACTAGAAGTCAAAATTTAGAATAAAGTTGCACTTAGACAGGTGGCGAGAATACAGGTTAGTTCTCAGGATCACAAGAAACAAAATACACCAAAATTCCCAAGCAGATAAATATGATATTAAGCTACTTAAGAATAATTTGATTTATTTAGAACTTTTTATTAAAAAATTTCTCACGGCTATTGAAAATAAAAGGTTTGAAATCTATTTACGTTTTAATTGAATTCAAACGTACAGAATTTTTTCTCACCGAGGTTATTTGCTAAACAACGCATTTTAAGTTCCTGGTGTCGGATTTTCAGTATCAGGTCTAGTACATCGCGCAAAATTCGGCTTTTATAGATTTCAGAGTTTTTGTTTATTGTTGTCATAGCGATATCGATTTCACGTAAAACTGTATTTGGACAAACCTCAATTCGTAGTAAATCACTGGTGAAAATTTTATAGCAATCAGACAAGGATAAAATCATCTTTATGGCGATTGAAAAATATCGGTATGGACGGAAAGTAGAGCGAAAAGACAGGGGCTTAAGATGGTGAACGGCCCCTTCTCATGTCCAAGTTTTGAGACCCATTTGTTTTCCTTGGAGGATATGACGTTTTCAGCGCGAGCCCTTTAATCTAGGATATTCGCCCCTTTCACCTCGTTAATGTTTTTTAAGCGCCTCCCTTTTTTCAAGGAAAAAGGCATTTATAATCTGTAACAACCACACTTGAATTCCATACCAGAGAGTTATTCCCTGATAACTCCAAGATGGTTCTTCCTGTTTCTTTGCCAACAACGCTGCGTTTAACTTAACTGAATAAGCCTTCCACTCTATTTAGCACCCTTCCATTCTCCATTAAACCACCAGTCGAAAGCGCACTAAAAAAAGTTTTATTTTTTTCAAACTCAAGACTCTGTTCCCTAAGAAGGGCTGTAGGGTTCTCCGCATGGAGAATTGGTTCAAAATCTAAAGGGCGCTGCTAGACTACAGCTCACTCTTCGTGGCTTAAATAAAAGTTATAACATTGGACAATCACTCTACACTGTAGAGCTCATACTTGGCCCTGGGGAAATAAATTATTCATCCATGAGTCTCAATGCGATTTCTTTTGTTTTACACCCCTTAGCCTTGGAGCCAAGTATGAATTTTTATAATTCGGAATAAAAATATTCCTATCTTCTCTTGGCCTATTGTAATTTAGCATATATACACTGAGTCATCTTGGTGATTTAAGCAATCTGATTGGTTCGCTATCTCGGACTATTCAACATTAGTAAAATCCAACTAGTGGTCTATTATCAACGCTGCGTTCTGATTAGTTGAGCTACTATTAGGCTATATGTTATAGCCCACTAGTAGCGAAAAGCGCGGGCTTTTTGGCGGCAAAAAAGTCTAGGTTTAACCATCCTCGGAGACCCAGGGGCAGTCAGTCGGGCCGGGTTAAAAGGCCCGACAAACGTTTTCAAGCACAGGCGGAAAAGCCCCTGGGTACCGACTCTCACCGGACCATTTCCAAACGATCAAGAGAATGCTGGTTCCTGATTGGGCACAAAAATGCTTTGTATTATTGTGCCCAATCGGCGAACAGCATCTCCTGAGTTCTTCGTGAGTTACTACACGACGGCTGTCATCTCGCCACAGTCCGAAACGAAGGAACTACCAATGAGTCGAAAAGCGTTTCGGATGCTATCATCACGAGCAATTCAATTTGCACTGAGAAAGTTCTGTTTCTGAGGGATCACAATGTATCATAAATAATAGGAAGTTTAAGATGAAGCGGCGACGAGAAAGTAAAAAAAGAAATAGCTTGACAAGGCAAAACAACAACTTTGCACGAGCATCACGCTTTTTTGTATATTTCTTCGCCGTCACTGCACGGCTACCACGTGAAAAT